AAGTTGGCTAATGACTCCTATTGTAGATGCAACTAATAGTCCGGAAACAATTCGGTACAATAGGGCGCATAAGGGGACAAGACTAGTCGAGTGCGCCTACGGAATTGTAAAAGAGCGATTTCCCTGTCTTAATTATATGCGATTGCGTCCGATTGTTGCAGCAAAAGTGGTCATGACGTGCATCACCTTCCACAATATTGCGTCACGGGATGATTTTTTGATTGACCTCGAAATTAATGACGACAACCTGCCTGATGGTGAAAATTTTCCAGCCGACAGAAATGCGAATGATAGACAACAAGAATTTCTTAGATACTTTAGACGCTAAATGATTAATTAAAATTAAATTAGCAGAAATATGGTACTTATTGGTAATTATTGGTGTATGTAAGTGTTGTTACAAAAAATATAAGTGGTTTTAAATAGCATATCTAACGTTCTTATTCAAACCAACTTAAAAACATAAGATTATTCATCAAATAGGACTTTTGTATATTCAGAAAGTGGAAGGCTTAAAGTTTTCTCTAGCTGATAAGCCTCCAAGCGTGTTTTATAGATTGTCACCTCCATTAGTGTAGTTTGCAATCTTTTTCTTTTCAGTTCTTCTTCGTCCACAGATAGCTTAGCTTTGCTTCGGGGTGGTCTTTTGAGTAAGCGATCAACAGGGGGTTCATCTGAATTTGACGTGGATTCTGAGACATCCTCTGGGTGGTCGTCCACATTTACTTCCGGTTCACCACTTTCTCCTACTGGTAACCCATCCATCACGACTGATTCCTTCCCAATTATTTCGAAGATCAAGTGGTCTACATCGTTGAGAACATTGTCTTTTCCTCCCCCAGTTCCTGTTTTCCGCTTGTTGTCCCTCTTTTCCTATTAAGAAATATTCTCCTTAAATATTAAAGAGTTAGAATTTTTAATAAGAAAAATTTACCACCGCTCGGGATTTCCACACTCCAAACACATTATCGCGAACAAAGTCAAACTTTCTTTCTTCGCTAACTAGGTATCTAACTATCGCTAACCGTCGCAAGTATCTAGGAGTTGAGAGTGATTGTATCAACTATACACTTACCAAAAGTTTTCAACACCCGTATTTCATAGTCGGACCAGTGAGTTAAAGCCGCCTCGCCTTTCTTTTTAATTTTTTTGACCCCTTTTTCTCATGTTGGTTGAAACTTACAAGGGTTGCATCGTCGTTAATCCAAGATGTGGGAACAATTTCCACTGTGTTATCGGAAGGAAAATGAACAATTGCGTAGGATTTAAAAATGCAATTAATCCTTCAGTTACACCAAAATATGCAAATTCCCCATCCCCTACAGGAATTATTTCCGTAAAAACTGGTGTTATTAACAACGTTCTCGCATCATTTGGGAAATTATCGAAACACTCATAAATTTTTAAAGTTTTTAGTAATTCCGAAGTCGTATTTCTGGTAGTATTATTATTTATTTCCCACTTTCTTATTTCAAAACAATAGTCCCTATTCTGAGTTGCACTTGTGAGAAAAAACTCCGGAATACGTCTTGGTATATCTTTGTATATTGAAGTTCTTGTCTCTACGATTTCAAAAGGTTGAAATTCAACCTTTCAACCGTTGAATGGCTTGTTCTTGAATTTCACTCGACACCATACTTTCTTGTACAAGTTCAAAATTACTACGATTAGTTTGCACTACAGGAGGATTATTTATTGTCTCAATTCCAGTTTGTTGGTTTTCAAAAGTTTTGTTAATTTTAATCAAAACTCGACGCTGTGATCTTTTATTTAAAAGATGCTCCGGTCGATGGACACGTACTCTCATGACGACAGCTGACGAAATACTAAAATTTATTGCGTTTTTGTATAAGCCGGGGACGAGTCGTTGCGATTTCGGTCAGAAATCGCTGCTCTAATTTCATACTGAAAACCAAATTGGGAAATCGCTCTGAAATCGCTCCGAATTCGTGCAAACTATTCTTTCTACGAAAAGCCATCGATTGTTCGTGGTAGAATTCGTACCGACTTGTCGGCGATGTTTCGACGATAAATATTTCGTTGCGAAGTCGTCTACAATTCTAAACGAAATAGCCCTCGAAGTCGCAGCGATTTGTCGCTGCAGTGAATTCGCTCTAAATTCGCTCTGGTCGCAGAGAATTCGACCATCGAATTGCCCACTGGGATTGTTAATAATTAACTTACCATGGCTGATATTAAATCTAATTTCAGAAGAATTTAACAATTTATGATAATACAAAGTAGCTGGAAAACAAACGATGTATAGCCATCAGTGTGACGAGAGAGAAAAGATTGCGGAGTCATTGCAAAGTTCAAGTTTTTGAGGAGTGAAAAGTGCAAAGTTCATTGCCCCCGAGAAACGCTCCGCATTTGCACTCTGCAAATCGAGAGAATGCAGAGTGAAGAGTGCGGAGTGCAGAGGTCATTTTGGTGAAATAGGGCCCTGGTCCCCAAACGGTAGAATTATATTCCAAAATAGATCTGACAAAGCTGCAGTAGGAAGTAAGCAGTTCATCTTTCTTGAACCCGAGAGATCTGAGCTTTCGAAGATAATTGAGCCTTGATGCAGCCTTGGATGTGATGTACGCGACGTGATCATCCCAGTTGAGTTTGTTGTTAAGGAAATAATTACGAAATTATTATTTATTTAATTAATCAGAGTTTAATAGGTTTGTGGGGAATAAATAAGTTCCCGGTGAGAGAGGCGAGTATGGTGAGACCGAGTTCCAATACTGACAAGGCCTGCAATGCTTTCCTTACGGGAGAGTGGCCAAATTTATCCAGTCAGTGCCGAGTGTGGAGTGTATTGGATCCAATCTTTATGGTTCGATCCCTACTTGTGCCAATTATATTTTTGCACAATTTTTTTCAACATATGGAATATAATTTTGGATGGAAATTTCACCCAAATTCAATGATGTAATGTATTTTTTAATATTTTGACCTCTCACCTTCCCGTTGTGACGAGGTCAAAGTTCAATAATAACTAATAACTTAATTTTTTCGTATAAAATTGTTTCCCCTCTTAAAAAAATTCCCCAAATTTGGGATTTTTTTTTGTTAAAAAATGTGAACAAAAAATGTAAACTTGAATAAAATTGGAACAAATTTGAAACTATGGGAAATATTGCTATGTATCGATCAAACCAGCCCTATATTTAAATTCAAAATCACCTCAGTTCTTCGACACCTGTGCAAAATTCAGTACACCCACAAAACTGAAGCTTTTGGTACTTACAGTATATGGAATATTCATAATTTTCAATAGCTTCTGGCAAATTCATGTTTGTTTGAGATGTCAAGAGATGTTTTTTGGAGGTTTTCGTCTCCTCCCTTTATTAGTTTAAATCCCGGTTGTTCGAATTCTCTGGACAATTATTTATAAAATGGTCTGGGCTTTTACATCGGTAGCAAAGATTTGAAGGACCAGCCTCCGGTTCCTGGAAAGAAACTCTCTTCCTTGGTTAAGTACTCGTGGAATACTGTGGTGGGGCAAAGTTAGATTGATTTCTTCTAAAGTTATTGGGGTTATTTCGTGGTGGAAAGTACTCATTTTGTCTGGGTTGAGGGGGTGGATTTCCTGATGAAAAACTGGTAGACTTATTCCAAGCTGGTCTGAAGTAGGGTTGGAAATGTTGAATTCTTTGTCTTGGTTGTGGAGTTGCATCATATTGTGGGAAAGAGTTGCGATTGCGGTTGAATCGTCGTGGAGATTGGGAGAAAGTGGAAAGCTGGGGATATTGAGATTCGGGGTGAATAATTGGTCTTCTGTCTTAATATCTTGTATGTTGTGCGAATACACTTTCTTCTTGAGGGGAAGTCTCTTTTTGTCGTGTCTCCCGAAAATTATTTAGCATTGTGGCTTCATCAACTTTGCTTAGCAGTTCTTTTAACTGTGCTAATGTGATAGGATTGTGGAGATTTACGTTAGTTAATATTAAGGGTAGCAATCCTCTTCGGATGAATCGAAGTCTCTCCTTATCCGACATCTGACTGTTCAACCGTGTGCACAAATTATCAACTAGTATGGCGTAATCGGAAGCATTTTCGTTGGGTTTTTGTTTGGCATCCATTAGTTGGCATCCATTGGCATCCATTAGTCATCCATTACCCGCAGAAGAGAGAAAGGCTTTTCCCAACTCCTGCCAGTTCCAATCTCCATAGCCATCTCGTTGTCTCTGGGCAGTATTTTGCATGTACCATCCCCATGCAACTCCCTTTAATTGGGTAGCAAAGATGTCGCACATTTGCTTGTTTGTCCAACTATTAGATTTACTAATTAACTTAAATACGTCAATGTATTCCTGAGGGTCAGAATTTGGGCCGCCGGAATATTCTTTCGGTTTTATTGTAAACCGAGCAGGTCTAGCTGGGTTTCCAGAAGAGAGACCTTGGGGGTCTTGAAAAACTGTTCCAGTATTGAATGTGAAATGTGCCTGTCCAGCTTTTCCTTGAAGATTTGTGGAAGCAAATTTCTGATGCGATTCTTCGGCTTTTAGAGCCATGTTCTGGACTTTAAGAATTGTGTCATTTAACAGATCACCTATGCCGTCTAGGTTTGTATCCAATTGATGAGAAACATCTGTTACATTTCGGTCATTGTGCTCATCCTCACTAAGACTGAGGAGGTTGTGTTAGGTTAGGTGTTTTGTTATCGACACTGGTGACTAAGCTTGGTGAGTTTCAGTATTTAGGTTAATTGGAATCTTGTTTGCAAGAGAGTCAAAATGAGACTGAGTGTATGGTTGCTACCCAATCTACAATTTTCGTTAAATCCACGCAAAAATAACTCAGTTGCAGAATTGCAACTGATGGCCGTTTTTCCAACGTGGTTTTCAACAACTAAGGCATCATGAAAACTACGGTGGTTTTCACGTTATTTTAACGTGGAAATTAACAATAAAATAACCGTGGCATTTGCAACAAATCCACAGTAATATTTACGTCCAAACCACGGTGGCGTTCATGGTAATTATGCATAATATGAACGGTAGTTTTTTCACAGTTCTTTGGTAATAAAATCACAATTTATTAACAATTTATATTATATTATTTATATTAACAATTTATTAAAGGAACAACAATTAATTTTTCATCCAATGGCATCAACCAACATTTTGCTTCAACTACGGTAAAACATTTACTTTAAAACTTTGATGTTTTTGGCACCTGATGTATGCCTAAAACTGAACTAGAGCTGGGATTTTTGTACAAATCTTCAAGCTTTATGAATTTCTTACATACTATGACTTGACTATCTTTAATATATTTTGATATAACAACAATAGACCCAGATTTTAACTTATAACAATTGTCATTACGGGTTAATTTAAACGAGGTAGTAGTTGTAGACACAGGTTGAGACAAAGGAACAGTTTCTTTCTCAATTATCCTATTGACACATTGCTCTAAGGGTTTGTATGACGCCCTCAAAGTTCGTTTAATAAACTGCATGTTATTTTGGTAAGGAAACGCACTAAATGAATCAAGCGGACCTAATTTTAGGGCGTCTGCGCTAATGTGTATAAGTGAATTCGTACAAAATAATGCCATCAAAAAATTAATCAAAAGTTAAATTAAAAAAAGTTAAAAAGTTAAATATACCAATAGATCTCGATTATTTGCATCGGCAAGCTTCAGCCAATTTTCAGTTTGCTCAAGGTGCTCTCTCGTTTCCAGATGATGATGTGGAATAGATGAAAAGTCAGCTTCAACATCTCCTTCGTTTGAAATTCGGATATTATGGAGAGCAGTTCTGATCTCAAGAATTTCTGCGTTTTGCCGCTAAAGAATTTTAATAATCCTTGTATGATAACCTGCAACAAAAATAGCATTGTTTGGGAATTAAGTGATATAAAATGATAAGAACTATAACAACTAAGCAAAGAAGATTTACCTTCAATCAATTTCTTAAAATCATCTCTAATGTCGCCAAAAGTACGCCAATGTCTTGCTCTTCCAAGTTGCCCACTTCTGGTTGATTTACTGAAGGAATGTTGTCGTTGTTTTGAGTTGATACTTGCACTTCAATGCTTCCTACGGGGATTGGAATGATTGGTTGAAAACTTCTTTTATTTAGTTGAGTTTTATTAATAAATAAGTTCTTTACCTTGATTGTCTATGGGAAGAGGTAAAACTATAATGGAATTATCTTCCTCGTCTTCACTGCTGCTTGATGACACGTTCGGGTGCAACAATTCTCGATAATGTTTCTTATTTCGGCTTTCTCAACGATTCTCTGATGCGCTTTCAAGATTGGAAGTGTCCTCCGTTATCCGCCTTCTCACAAGCTAATTTCCACGTATCTGCAATTGAGATTTTTATTTAAATTATATAATCAAGTAAATTACATTAATAATTGAACTAAATCGATAATATTTACCGTATTTTCCAAGGATTTTATCATACGTCTGTCTACTCTAGGATGGAAGGGGATGTACATTTCCCTTTTTACAGAAACTTTTTAGTTTAGAAGCTGGTGGCCGAAACACGATGTTTCCTCCTCTTCAAGCCAAATCGTGGGAGCTATTTCTATTAATTTTTCGCCATCATAGTCAATTTGTATATACAAAATTTATGAACTGGGAGGGATGACATTTTGGGAGAAAAATTTCATTGAACTGACTTTGTGACAGAGAAATGTGAGGGAATACTTTGGATTCTGCGCGCTCTCTTTGTTCGCATTCCAGGTTAAATCTGCGTTATTTTTTCGTACAATATTTTGGTGAATACCACGGTTGTTATTTGGTTGAAATCCACGCTACTTTTCTCGTGGAAAAGTTTCATGAAAAGTTGCATGAATTTTACTGTTATTTTTGTGTAGCAGAATGGTTTGAAGAATTAACAGTAATTTTTTATACTATGGAATCACGTTAAAATAACAAATATTTTGCCACGGTTATTCGATTCAAGTTTCTACTATTTTGCTACCACTTTGCAACAAAAATTGTAGATCGGTAGTCATTGATTTTTTATGGCCTTCAATGTTTTAGTAGAACTCATCAACTAGCTGTTTATTGCCTTTTATTGCTTTCTATTGAAAGAACCTTTTGCTACGATGCACCAAATACGACCAGGTCAGTCGCAATGACTACACCACACCTGGCTGGAGTTCCACTACAGTCAACACTCGAACTTGTAGAGGAAAGAGCGGGAACGTTCTGGCCTCCACTGACAAGGTATTACTTGAATGCAGTTGCACTTGAACTTGGACCTGATCTCACTTTCGCCGAAGGAAATTTGCATGGCCTTCTAGGCGTATAATAAAGTGGACGATGAACTTTAATGGCCAGAAGAGCTGGGGTAAACAGGCACTTTTTGCCTCAGGGGAAGACGACGAATTTGTTTTTATTTTTTCTGCCATGTTGCCTATTTCACGTGGACTGTGTGTATTATAAATTGAGACGTGTGTGTTGTTAGACTTTACTTAGATACTTTGTGCTGCGTGGTTGAAGTTAATAGAATTTGATGAAGTCAACTAAAGAGAGTTTTGTAAACTGAAACAGGACAACGTAGTTTAATCTATTCATATATTTCGTCTCTTCGAATCCCAAACATCTCTCATCGTCTCATAATACGGTTGAAATTATATCAGATTATTCAATATATTTTTTTAAGCAATGCAAATTTTAATTAAAGTTAGATTAACGTAATTTATCTAAATCACGCCCTAATTACCTAAATCTAGTTGAAAGCTTAATTTAATTTTTTACCCTTTAAACTGGTTTATGATTTTTTTTACTTTTTGGAAATTAAAATAATTTTACTTAACGCCAGGTGATTCAAAGTAATTTGCATTTCCTAAATTTTCCAACGATACATATACATATTTAACCAAGATATATTTATTTATTAACTAACTAAATATAGTTAAAATCTTATTATATTTTATTTTTTTGCGCTTAAACTTTTTATGATTTTATTTGATGTATTGTGTTTTTTTTTACCTTTTTGAAATTTAAATAACTATTTTAATTTAAGCTGGATTTAACCTAATTTACATCTACTTAATTTTTGAATATACATATTACTAAACTATCCAATAACATTATATTTACAGGGAAAGAAATACACTTATTGTACTTGGAAGAGTTCTAGTTTGATGATTTTACCACGCAATCCAGCACCAATAATGGGGATGGATTAAGGAGCAAAATCACCAAACCTAAAGTCTTCCAAGTACAATAAATGGCGGTATAAGATTTTTAAAATTTTTACATAAAATTTGGAACCCTGGCGGAATTGTTAGATTAAATAATTCTAGAAGAGAAATAAATGATAACGTGACGAAAATTCACTGCTGTGTACAGTGTGTTCGTTATTGTTCCCGCCAAAAACTTTCAACCTAACTAGATAGGGTATTTTCTACTTGTATTGTTTCTCATCAATATGTTGCTACAATATATTCATACCTACTTGGATAATTAATTTAATATAATATTTGCGAAGTTGGACTGCCAGCAACAACCACCTTGATGAATACTATATTGATCTTCATTTAAATCTAATCATGAATCCTTTTCTGTACAAATATATTTCCCGCTTATAAAATAAGTAGTCAAAGAAATAAATTGTACACATCATTTCCCCACTTTAATTCTAAAGATCTAGCATAATTATCTTTTAAATGATTGAATCCCGTCTAAAATTGAATATTGAAGAACAACTTTGAAAATGGACTAAAGAAGTTTAAATATTTTTGAACTTTGTCTATTAAAATGTAAATAATCCTAAGATTATTCATCCTAAGATCCTCTTATTTTTATGGACAGAAAATGGAAAATTTAAAGTCATATTAATTGAAATATTAAAATTTGGTTGCTTCCAATTACTAACTATTTCGGGGCAAAATTTAATTACCATCATACATGCCGAAATTTTGCCCCTGATTGTTTCCCTTGGCTAAATTTAAAGTCTGCTCGATGTGGCCCACTAGGTCCTTCAATTTCAAAATCTCCACCCGTTGCAGTTCAATGGTTTTGTTTTGTCGCGATATTGTATCTTCTTTAGCGGCTACTTCGGCTTCTAGCTTAGCGAGTCGTTCCTTTGCTCGGATTCGGGTTTTCCGGGCGGCAATAGCGTTCCTGACTGCCTTTGTGTCAGGTATTAGGTCATATTTCTTTACCCGGGGCAAGGCTGGTGGGGCTGGTTCCTTCAATTTTGGTGGTCGACCCCTTTTCTTTTTTAATGGTTGTGATAAAATCTGATCATCGCCTTTGCCAGATCGTGATAAGGTCATACTACATTGCTTCACTTTTAATGATACAAGGGTACCAACTGGTTGAGCTGGTGGTGTTAAAATATAATTATTCCGCTGAGTAGGTTGGGGTAGAATCCTACCAACTGGCTGATCTGGTGGTGATAAAACAAGAATGATTTGGTCAGCTGGACGTGGTAAAATAGGATTGACTTGGTCCACCGGCGGTGATAAAATAGGATTTCTTTGGTCAGCTGGTGTTGACAAAGATGGCTCATCAGCTGGGCAACATAACTCGGCTCGGTTGATGAAGCCGATGCCCGGAAAGGACACGTCATCATCGCCCAAGGCGGCCGCATTGTCTTGCAACCACGTCCCTAAAGGAGACAAGGTAAATTCCGAGTACGACCCGCCTACATCGTGAGGTTCGATGGGTATCGAGGGAAAAGCGACTAGCAGATCGGAGAAATCCATCTCGTTTTCGCTCTCGAACGGGGAGAGCGAATTGATATTATAATCTTCAGCCTGTTCAGATAAATGAGCAGGATCCATTTGATCTGTTAGAAAATTCGTAGTTATTTTTTATGGTGACAATGCCAATCCAAACGGTTGCTACGGTAGCGACGTATGTATTACCTTAATTATTGGCAAAATAAATATATTAATTTACCAGTTTATTTTTCCACCGGTAAAACAAATTAGTTATAAATTGGTACTTGGTAATATTACTTTTGGCAATAATCTCGTATAAGCTAATATTAATTTTATGCCTAGGTGTTTAACAATATAAATAATTACAACAAAATTACGCACCTAATAATTGGTTCCGATACGTTGTAATGTCGCTTACCCCAGCGGTATTAAACTTTCTGATGTTTTCTATAAAAATTAAAAATATGAATGTACAATACTGTAATTTATGTGACATCATGAACGCAATTTAAAATGTTTGCTAATTGATACATAATTTTCACTTACCGTTCCCCCAGAGGTTTTTTGGCTTAAAACCCCTCCTTCAATTTACCCATCGCCCAACGAGAAAAATTAAGCTGTTATTCCATTGCCGAGTTTTTTACAATTGGGACTGACATTGGTGTGATTTTATCCAGGTGACAACGTTAAAATTTAATTTGCAATGAGATCACGATACATTGATGTTGCCATATTTATTGCAAAATTATTAGCAATGTAACATCCACCCTGTAAAATATTACTGAGTCGGTGTAATCTGTAATCATCCAGGGAAAAATATTGGATGGATACTCCCTCGACAAATAAGTGCGGCAAGATAGCATGCTCGCGAATTTTTTGAAGTAACGTTGCCCTCGCATAAATAATTAGAGGATCTGATTGACGTCGCTGGGGGAGTGTGTATGAGGGATGTGACAGTTTGGGATTAAAAGAATGGGCCAGGCTATTACATATTTTGTGCAAAGATTACATACGCATCGACTAATCTGATTTGTTGAAAAAAATATTACATTGGTTATGCACGATCCTCCCCATGTGTTGGATTTCGGTCCATCCCAACTCTTGATAAGGTTGTCCTGATAAGTAAAACATGAACGGGGTGGTAATAAAATAAGATAATGCTTATGAGATCAAATGAGGTGGAAAGTTCGAGTAAGTTGTATATGTACATGCATATTTAACCTCCAAATGTGGAATTATATTGATGTGTATTAATACTTTCATATATGTACATAATGCAAATCATGCTAATAATTTGTATCAATGTGAATCCTATTGGTGCAAATTTTTTTGTTTTTGTTTTTCCTTTTTTTTGTTGTTTTTTTAGCTATTGTTTCTTTTCTTCTTGTTCTTCTTGTCAAAAAAATCCAGAATTAGAAGGTTTAATTTTCGCTAGAAGATCAACTCATCGGTTTTACTAAATTAGTCCACTTATGAAAGTCAAATTATAATTGAAACGAATTAATCGCTAAAATTAATCTATTAGTATAAATTTTTGGTTTAGAAGTGCATGCATATGTGTAAGTAAAATTAGCTTGTCAAATTATTTCAAGTATCTTAAAAATCTCTTTGATTGGTATGTTTTTCTATCATTCTTGTTCGAGTTTAACAATTTACATCAGTTTGACATTGTATTGAGCCCGTAATATGCGCTGTTGGGACAATTCAAAATAAAACGTTTATTAATTTATTATCTTACTCAAAATCTTACATATTTCATGTTATATGTACAAATTAAACACAAATCGTTACAGACGCTAAGTGTTGACTTTTTGGCCGTATTGTTGCTGATGCGGGTATGGTGGTGGATACCCGTACTGCTGTGGTTGACCGGTCCCCTGTTGTTGCCCCCAACCAGCGGGGGGTGGTCCTTGCACATCTAGTTAAGAAAAATTAATGACACACGTGCAACATAAATATGTGCATGGAAACTACACGCTTAGAAATCCAGTATCAAAATAATACCATGTGGTACAAATATCCATATTGACTACCAAAGCGGTATAATTGATAGGTTATACCATGTGGTAATAACTCAGTATTAAAGTTTTACCGTGTCGGTAGCAAATTGTTACTGAGCGGCATAATTTTAGGGCCAAAAAGGTAACAACTTGAACACCGAGTAATAAATATCTACCTATCTGACTATACCAGATTTTTAACTGTGAACTGCAGCAGATTTAAAATATTTCAACTTACAAACGATCCCGGGTTGATCTCGTTTCCGACAACCTGTGAAACAGCACCATCCGCAACAGAAGCAAAGTCCGACAGGAATGCAGACAAAGAAGATGATGAAGAGGGTGATAGAAATGGCAACTATCCAACCAACCCTGTATTAAAAGTTTAGCAGGTTATCAAAATAAATTCTGAGAAAAAAATTGTGATTCAAAAATTCCCAGTTTCTACTAGGAATCGAACCTGAATGCAAATTAATCCAAGTAAAAATTTTAACAATGACAATTATTCCCGGAAAGGTGCATTGAAACTTTATTTGTCGTAATAAATTTACGTAAAAATACTAAACAAACTCACACTAGACAAAAAAATTTACATATCTGGATTTTTAAATTACCAACCAAATATTCGTCTAAGTCTTCATTAAAATTCATTACTTACAACAACAAATCCAAATAAAAACAAATTCTACCAGGAGTCGAACGTGACGTCAAGTTATACAAATTGTAACCAATACAATTATCCGACTATATACCCATGTATTAAAAACTCATTATTTACAATGAATTGACACAAAAATAAAATCGACCAGGAATCGAACCTACGACATAGTAAACTCCCCCAAAATTTAAAAAATGCAATTATTCAAACACCTCTGAATTTAAAAAAAACATTATTTGCAATAAATTTTGCATAAAAAAGCCAAATTCCACCGCGAATCGAACCTTGCATCAAATTAAATCTGTTCCAATTTTAACCAAAATCTTCCATTGTGACTCCCGCTTACGACGTAAAAAATAATATTTCAAACTTTCAAAATTTGTTTCCTAAAAATTTTATTTCAATTAACTCACGCCAGCTCAAAGTCGCCGCCATAATAGTAATCGTAATAATAGCAGGTGGAACCCGTGCAGTAATCACAATACGAGGGACACTCCCAATCCAAACCTCCTTCCAACAGTTTACTTTTCAGTTCGCCCTTCTTATTTTCGTTCAGGGTGCTGCCTTGTACGGCGCTCGTCGCCATGACGACGAGGACCAAAAAAATTAGAGCTACTTTCGTCATGATTTATTTGTGACTAAATTTTTAGCTCGACAAGTTCCAAGGTAAAAGTCCGAGTAAGGTTTTGTCCTGCTAAATAAATACATATATGCAACCTTTACACAAATGTATGTACGTAATCTTGTCAAGTTGTGTTATCTCGCAATATTTCGATTTAAGTCGCTTATCCTTATCGGTGTCGCCCTGACATTGGTAATGACGAGATGATCGATTAATCACAATTGATACGAGGTGGGGAAAAAGATTTTATCCACAGGTTAGTATTTTTTTGAAGTCAATAAAAACATAGGACGATCTGCGAACTATTTGACTGTTTTTTTTTAGTACGGATTTTCCTTAACTCGTTCCAAAATTGAGTTTAATGGAAATTGCGTCCCGAAAATTCAGCGCTTAACAAATTTTATATGTAATTTACCACGAATAATTTGCAGAAAATTAAGATAAGTCATATGTTCTTCTGGTCATATACCACAAAAAGAAGTAAATACATATATTCTCATCTTGATAACTGAGTAATGTGAGTTATTACTCACTCAGGTCCTAAATTAGTGAGTGAACAACTATTCATCTTATAAAATTAATAGTTGTTCTACATACTTCATTCATGAAGGCGGACTCGTCTTATGGAGTTGCTTATTATTTCATGTATTTCATCTCAGAGGGGGTCAACTTTAAATTTGAATTGATCCAGTATATTTTGAGCATTTACAATAGTAAGGTTTCTTCCCCCATGAATGCGGCCAAAGGTAGAGACGGATTTTCCCGCCGAAGTAAGGATTTCCACCAGTGGCCGCGGAAGCATGGGGACATAGGGAAACTGTCCCCACGGAAACTTTATCGTATCGTAGTACATGCAATGCATTTATCCCCACGATTTAGAAGGACTGAAGTACAAAAACATCAACCTCATACGACAGCTTAAACTATAATTTCAAAATTATATTGAAATTCGGAAATAATATTGCTTTTCCCATCCAATTTCAGGATAATTGATTAAATTTATAACTATTGTAATTCAAATATTTGATTATTTTTGTATCAATCAGATAGATTTTGAGTTTTCTTGAATTAACATGAAAATTTATGTCCCCACGGTCTAACTGATCTTCCGCGGCCAGTGATTTCCACAATGCACCCTCTTTTAATAGCCACACTGTATCAAATTAAGCTCAATTCCATCCAATCAATTGCGCAGAGCTCGTGCATGCATGCATACGTCAATGTTTTGCAAATACATACAACATGAGATCTTGTTTCAGGTACATACGTATCAGTGAGTCATAATGACTCACTGTGATCGATAAGTCAGCCATGATAATACAAGCTGAAGGCAGAGTGAAAGTATACTCTTAAAAATCTGGTATAAATCGCCACCGAACGGTGTGCATATGCAATTTCACCAAGTAGTGAGAATGTTTCCCAATGGTGGTAAAATCAGTGACAAGTTGTCCCCAAGCGGACAAGATTTATCATGATAAGCTGAAAAACATTATTACCATTTGGTTAAGTCACATATATATATATGAACACCGCGTGGCAATTATTAAGATGGGATGTTTAAGAGCATGCATATTTACTTGGTATTCATCTTGGTTTTATTACGACACACTATTAACTACAATACAACAATGAATTGGTGACTAATTAATGCACTATCAATTAAATTACTAACACTTTGTCTTTTTGGCCTGAGTGAAAGCTTTTCAAAGAAATAATATGAATATGAATGTGAAATGAATATTCAAGAAAATGGATAATTACAAAATGTGTTTCCCGGTCTTGGAAAACTTTGAACAAACAATGTCAATTTCCTCATCGAATACAGTGTTCGGTGAACCTATCAATTTTTCATTCAATAGGAATTGTAGTTGACTTCATGAAGATTACCACATTCTTCATGAGCTGTTGAGATGATGAGACATATGGAGAGTGAAAGTTGGAAATTAATAGATAAAGTTGCTAAGAAAGACGAAAACTGTGCTATTGCTTATTCCTGACGGTGAAAGAATTGAAGGTGAAAGTGATTACTTTCATCTTATCAGGTCCTCATATCATGAAAATGGGGAAGAATTATTCCGTTGTTACAATTATTCGTTATACCTTTTTGTCTTCATTGGTATATTCATTTTCGGGAATTACTTGATTCCTAAGTGGAAAGTGGAAAAGATAACTCTGAATAGATGCCACGTGAGTGATCAGTTCACGTACCCTTTTCTAAGCTTCGTTTCTTTTTTCCTATCTATCTTTGTATCAATCATTGTTAAACGTAAAATTCAGGCATTCAGATACAAAACTTAATGACCGTTGAGTGAACATTACTTTTAAGCTAATATTTAATTATTAATATTTTGATGACTATTTGTCATGCTGTGACAGAATCGTACTTATTATTTGACCTGTTCTAAAGCTTACAGCAAAAACCGCTTGTTTTTCGTCTCATGTTGAACTATGTCTGCAGCACACAGTGATGAGATGACCCCTTTCTTTTCTGTATACTTTCTCAGTATACCGTATTTCTATATCTCTTTTGCCGCAGCGTACCGCCTACGTATTTTGATTTCTATAGCGCTCTTCCTCCCTTGTCGGAGGGTTAAATGCCCTTATGGTTTCAACTAATTTTAGTGTGATAGGGACTTAATGCTAGCTTCTCCGAAACATTTGTCGGGAATTAATTTTTATACCGGTGTTACAATGCTTTATTTAGCAACTCTACCGATCACATATCGGGAGTAAAATTACTGTCCCAGTTTCTTGTAATATTTCCTAACTGTCAGGTATAAGGTTGGAGCTACCGTTTCTTTCCTTCCTGGACAGAAGTACTAACCCTTTCTATTGACCTGAGGCGCGACCCCAAAGTGTTAAGACCTGTGTGTAAATACTTAAAGATGACACATCTTTAAGTTAATGTTACCGCCAATGTTACGGCGCTGCTCACTGTAGCTAACTTATGGATGTGTAAAATCCAACAGCGTCGCAAGATAACTTAACTGATGACTTAATGATAAGCAGAAATGTCCCTCTTTTCACGTTGCATAACTTGTTGCAGTAATAAGGCCAATAAAGTCCCAGAACTAGCGCTTTTCAACTAGATTAACTGGTTTTATTACGACACACTATTAACTACAATACAACAATGAATTGGTAATTAATGCACTATCAATTAAATTACTAACACTTTAAAATTAATCTTCTCTGCTCTTACTCATACTTCTACCGTGCTCTCGGAGTGACTTTTAGTGAGTGCGAGCATGCTCTCTCTCTTTTTGCGCAAATCTTCTCTTCCCATTTACTTATACACTTAACTACCTACTTACTTTTTTGGTTCTCTCTTTCCGCTCTCTTGCGAAGTGATTCAACCGCTTGCCACCAGATGACGTGGTTGACGCATCTACCCAATCTGTAGCTACTTTTCTTACACAATTCCCTATGCTATTTTTAATTACTTAAATTATTTATATTTCGAAAACTAAGACAGGCTTACAAAGATTTTATATTTTTAACATGACTACGCAATTATTATCTATTAAATAAGCCAAAATTTGCATAATGTTTCCGATGATAATTTTTCCCGATTTTCGGACTTTTATCATGGGACTATTACTAATTACTTAATTACTCAAAAACTGTCCAAGATAACACTAGTTTTCTTTTTCCTAAAATTACTTCATACATTAATCTTTAAAATAAGCTACATAAATCCATACGCTTCCGAACTAATTTTTGAATTAAAAAATATTTTTAATTAACACATCGTCTCAACATGCCCATTCTGCAACAGTGAGACTGACTATGTCGTACGATTTGGAGAAAGTAACGTGTACTACTGGCGAAAGACTGTCCTTACGACGTCCCCCATGCCTAGGTTCACTCGCAATTCTCCCCTTCTTTAAACACTGAACTTCCGCATGTAAAGATTAAAGGTAGGTCGTTGACCGTTACACACATGTCGATTTTATTATAGAACTGGACGAATGATGATGCGGACTTTTACCGTAAAAAGACGGACTTATGAGTACCGACGACGGACTTTTACCGTAAATTATACGGGCTTTACCGTGTTGTTCTAATTTCTGGCAGCTGCCCGTGCCTAACCAATTTCATCCCCTGACTTTTTATTGATTTTTCTTTCCTTATTTTGAGTGGGTTCTAAACTATGTTTCAGCTACAGTGTTCCTAAAATTAATGAATCGTACAATTAATCATGTTTACACGCGGTAGTGAGGATGGGTAGGTATGTTGAAAGAGTTGTACGATGCCCCTATATGGATACAAATGACCATGACCCTATAAGCGAAGTGGACCAATAATGAACATTGTCCTATCCTAGCATTAACACTTTCTGAAGTGTTCTAAAGAAACGCTTGACAAAGAGAAAATCCAATTTTCCAGAAGAGCCTAAAGACCCCTGAAGGAACAAATGAACCCGGGAGTCAGATTCCTGGAAAATGATGATGATATTGGATGTTTGTGATTTAAACGCTATGCCGACATTTAATCGACATCTCGACCTTGTTATCCCAACAAGTGTAAATTTTAACGAGGATTATTGCCAAATATTTATCTTTACTTTTCCTGTACAAGCCTGTACCATCTGGCTCAAACTGATACTCTGAACCCCGGAAAAGAGACTCATTTCATGGCTACAAAATGCTCTGGCTATTGATGAGGTTATCTGTCAGCGAGAAAATTTAAATGAAATCATTATCTTATGATCATACTTTGCCTCGTAATGCTACCGCACACCACACGTCGAAGAAAGTCGCATGATTAGTTAAATTTAGGCTAATACTCACTCCTACCATGGATGAATACATTTCTACTTTACCCATTTACGTCGGATAGAAATTTTGGCATTGTAAACGATTCTATGTAGGTAACTTGTCTATTCTTATCTAAAATTTCGAGTGCAAGGAAGAGACGAATGAAGAAGAAATGTACGTGGTCAAAATGTGACATGGGAAAATTCGGATGGTTCCAAATGTATTTTTAAAGTTGGCAATATTTCCACTTGTGTTATATATAACGTGGTATCCAGATGTGGATGCGGTTAGAAGTTTTTAAATGATTTTCCGTCCCACCAGTGGGTTGAAAATTAACTTAACGGCTTCGCTGCCCAACTTAAAGAAAACACATTCGGTATGCATAGATTTAAGTCAAGAGAGGCGAAGAAGACATTTACTAACTATGTATGTGCGACCTCGCTGTCAGTAATGAGTAATGAGCTTTCCAACGGAACCGGTAAGATAGATGACTATTCTGTCACTTCAAAATTGCACATAGATCACTAATGATCTCTGACATTCTCTGTAATGTATGTGTCCTTTTTCCTTGGCTGGAACCCATATGAATGACGCATGGATGCTGTTGGCAAGCAATCAACCCTGCTGCACACTGAGAATGCAACAATAAAATATGTTCTACTTACACATTCTCATGAGCCAAACAAGTACCTACTTAAACTAAAAATATTTTGAGCCCTGATTTAATATAACTGATTTTGCATTATGTATGTATAATTTTGCAGATATCAAATATACTTTCCCCCACAAAATTTTTGTCACCTATAGTAATTTTCTTATTTTTTGTTTAAAGAGGAAGGAGTAGATGAAGAGATGCGTAAAATTGCTCTCGATGCTAACATAATTTGTATTTTCGACTAATTTGTTGAAATTTAGGCTGAGAAACGTACTAACTTATGTTATAATGAGCACATTCGTATGCAGGATCTAAAATTTGTATGATGAGTAGAGGACATTTGCATACACGGTACGAATGATGAAATCAATTTTTATGTATTTATTAATTTATTGTATGCAATTTGGATTCATAATGAATGTGGAGAGTAGTTTTTAATTTTACTTCCACGAATTAGCTTCTGGAAAAGAAAGCAAATACTGAGCGAAAGATTGAGGATTTGAATAATTTGTTAACATTGGCGAAAGTTGGCTAAAACGTCAGATTTTGAATTTGTACCGGAAAAAAGAATTGCCGTTATAATTTGATATATTGGATTTTAAAAATTTTATCATACTTGTGCAAACAGAGTTTTTCGAATACCCTGGGTTATTAAGAATATGAAGGAACATTTTGAAATATTCATTTTAAAATATGCATTTGAATATGAAAGAACCGGAGCTGAACGGAGTTTTTATTAGAAGAAAAGCAAGGAAAAAAAATATTGTGTTCTCTTAATATTGACTTACATTAAAAAAATTTTCCTCCCAGAATCATAATATATGTAAGTACAGGATTTTTCCGAAATAAAATTTTTTTCCAATACAGGTTACCGTAAATCCCAACCAAAACCCAGTCCATGATCCTCTCCTACAAGGACCCCAACGATTTGGGTACCCTTGTATCACTTTAACCCCGAATTCGCAGAGAAAGGGGCCCACTCCCCCCTGGAATGGGTGGGCCTTTCCGATGTAGAACCTCCATGAAATAAAGCCGTTTACTAATGGGAGAGAATGGATCCGGGAATAAGTGTATTTATTTCCTCTTTGTCTTAACCTATCTAACCTACGGTAGATCTCTCTCGAGATCTTTCTCCTAACCTAGCCAATACCCAACTAAACTGCATTTCTCTCTCTCTCGTCTCTCTCTCCTCTCCCATCTATTCTCGTCACCAGGCCTGAATCCGGATATTTCCCAATATCCGAACTCAGCCCCGTAACAATAATTAACTTCAAAACTTACATCTTGCTAACAAACCGCTAATTTTTCTTGCATATCTACGTTTTCACTCTCAAGCATGCCGACGGAGGAAATTTTCAGTCTGGACCCGGTAAAATCTCATTATTCCAATATTTCCATATTCCAATATTATTCCATTACTCAAATTATTCAGTCGGAACTTTATGCCGGTGACAGGTCGCCAGATTCATAGTCATCCGCACAAAATTGTTTTGTAAATTCGCATTCGCACTTGTCCTTATGTTAAGCTAAGCAAATATTTAGCTATAATTAGTGTTTTACATGTATTACTTACTATAAAAATGTGAACGAAACAAATGCGCAAATAAAAAAATAAAAAAATGCCTTCAACATAATTGTTGTGTGTAACTTGTTCCTGCTTATTTCGTTCTTATATTTTGTCATTATAATTTCAATCATAGGAGGATTTTCAGTTGAAGTAATTCCACTCTAGGATTCGGTGTCGTAAGTCACGACAGGCGGCGTAATACCTATGAAACATGCTTTTATTAAGGTTGGGCTGGCACACATTAATATATATTTATAGAGATGGAAGACATTGCGAAATAATTGTCGTCTGTACAGTATATTATTATTATCTGGCAATAAGACTTGAATGCTATTCCGCCGCTGCACTGGTTCGCCAGGTCACCCTTACAAAGGACAAAGTACATACATTAATATTATTAAAATTAATATATGTGCGGATATGGAGTAAAAGCGGATGGGTGTACGAAGGAGGTGATTTATTTATATTGATGTATATTATATTAAAAGCGGATTTAAATTAAGGATAACGTTAAAAAGTGTTGAATTTTAATTACGTCTTACCGTCATACTTATTAACTGAAACATAAATTATGTCAGTGAGTCACTGATTGTCCATTATAATAAGCAGCATACAAAGGAGGCCATTGGTAAGCAGGTAAAATTTTTCACTCTTAAACAATTTTTGCAATCTGCAGAATTCGATGACATAAGATGGATTTGGGCTAGTAACCCAACTAACATCAAAATTAAGTTCATTTCTGTCATCTTAAGAATACATAGCGCTCAGGGGGATATATGGTTATACTTGTTCTTATCTAGAATTATAGTCCTGATAATTTTTGAAAGCAACATTTTTATGTACTGGAGGAGGCTTTGACTTGAGTTGTTGTCTCCATAAACAAGAATAAAATGAGAAAACTGATAGCATATGAGTTCAGAATATGAGTCACATTTTTGATTATTAAATTATGTTGGAGCAAAATTTTTCTTACACGGATAACTTGCACAATGAAGGATAAGTCATAAGATGTGTGACAAGATAAAAAATATTGCATTACTGCATTATTTGAATACTGCTGCTAAGTTTTAATCAACATTTATTGTATTGCATTCTGTTCGCCTTCATGGTAAACATAGCTATCAATCTCAAGATCGGCCTGTACGAAAAGTACAGGCCGAAACGCAAACGTGTGTTTAAATTGTAATATTACTTGCATATTACATTGAACTAGTACTGGACATTTTGACAACCACTATAATTCTTATCTATACGAACTCAAAATTTATTGCTATGCAATAATGATTTATTTGTGTGGCATCTGCTGAACCCAATTACTTGTCGCCATCCAATTTATGAAGTTAGTGTGTATAACAATACGTTAGTAAGAACATGAAAATAATTAGCGAGTAGTATTAACCTTAGTCTTTGGAGATGTAATGCTATATAGATACTGAAAAAAATTATGTCGGGGATCACTTACCAAACAAGTCTGTCTTACAGTAACAGCTGTGATACCCTTCTTAATGTCCTGTATTGAACAGAATTTGCAATTATTTGCTTTTCAGATAAATAGAGAGTGAATTGTTTTAACCTGTGTAAACGTAATGTGCCACTAATATTTATTTGCAATACCAATATTGTTGCAAAAAATATTAGCATATTTAGCAATACCATGTTTATACTCACATTTAATAACATATTCCCAATTCTGTGATATGCGCCCGCTTTAATAAACCATTGGGACAGAACTAAATGGACGTTATGGTGTATCTACTAAAACCGTAGAGAATTTTTCATGCTGCACTCATGGCGCGCAGGCTACGGATTTACTTGATGAGTTTTACTATAGAAATAGACAATCTATGATTAACAATTTACTCCGAGTTATATTTCAACTGTTCAGATTTAACAATTTGATACAATAATTATGACTAATAGTAAGCTTGGAATAAAATAAATCACGATATAATGATGTTACAGTAGTAAAAAACTACTTAGCTACACCCATTCACTAAATTCGAATATTAATGTTTTAATAGTTCAGTTGACACACATAGAAAAGTAAAAAGAAAACTGCTCGCGTACGACAACGTCTTATTTTGGTTCCAAGAAAACTTTTGCGAACATGCCCTTTCGCTGGGTTAAGTTGTAAAGAAATATTCCATGGGGTTTACAGCAAAAGTTTATCGCAAACCTTGCGAAGTTCGCAACATATGTTTCAATGATCAATTTGCGAGATTTGTGAACGCTGGCGTCAGTCAGTGAATAATAGCTAGGAATATCACCAGGATTTTGGTTGTAAATGACTGTCTAAATTGATTGAATAAACTCACAAAATCTAGTATGAGGAAAATTAAACAAACTTCTAGTTCATCAATGATTGTGAGTAAGAGTTATATTTTGTTATGAAATAAAAACAAAGAAGAGTTTATTCAATCAATTTAGAAAATTGAGCATAGAAACATAAGTTGCGAACTTCCCAAGATATACGATAACCTTTTGTTGAAAACCCCATGGAGAGGGAGCCGGCAATAAGACTTAAATGCTCTTCCGCCGCTTAAGTAGTTTTTTACTACGATAACTATTATTTCATAATTTATTTTATACCTAGCTTATTATTAGTCATAATTATTGTATCAAGTTATTAAAATTCAACGAATAGTTTGTTAAAAAAATTGTTTGTTGGTCAAAAATGCAGTAAAAGTAATTTCTTCAAAAGTAGATAAAATGATCATGTACAATTAAAATTAGATTCATCTGCTTAAATTGTAGCATCGAGAAATTGGTGATCGGGACGGGTCATATGATGAATCTCGTTCGTCTCGATTTCTTTCTCCGTCATTTTCACTTTCTGCCTCTGTGCTGTTGTCATCCGCTTGGTTATCTTGTGAGGAAAGTCGTGGTGGTAGCGGAGGTGAAAGTAGTGGCCGTTCCGCCTCATGGCCATCATCGTCAGAGAAGACCTCAAGGATTGAAGGCATAGCACGCTCATAGCTGGGGGCCCTCGATCTGGATCGTGATAATAACCCTGTCCTAAGGCTCCTTCTCCTCCTCCTTTGATCAGTGTACGAGAGATTCCTCGCACGTTCTCTTTCCACAAAATTTGAAAATCTACCAACTGATTACAGAGGCTAAAGGAGAGGGGAAATTCTTGCTGACAGCACCGTCAGTTTAATATTTTTTCCAACTTCCTCTCGCTTTATCTCTTTCTCTCTCTTTGTCTGTTTCCGTTCTCAATTGATTGCATCTCGACTCATACATACTTTTGATAGGATTAGTGGCATCATCGCTTAAATCTTCAACCAGATACAGTACATGGAATATAAATAAAGCATCAAATTGGAAAAAGTCGGCAAAATGTGACATTATAAAATTAGCAAAGAGATAGGTAATAGATTTCAGGGTATAAGTTTTATAGGAGTACACGAAGTATCACTCATTAGTTTGTCTTGGCTGTATTATCTTTCAATTTCCCTTCAAAAAATCACAGGAACTACTGGAAATTTCTCAAATTTTAATATATTTTTAAGCGGGGACCTGTTCCAACTTTGTCCCGTGGTAGCAAATCCTTTATATGCTTTCCCTTCTGTTGACACATATTCATTTAGTGCTCAGGGGCTAAATATGTTTAGAGAGTCAGTTAAGAAATGTTCTACTTGCAGGGCAACTTAAGAGCGAACAAAGACTCGGTAGCATTTCATTGTTGCATAATGTACGTAGAAAGAAGGTAAAGAGTAGCGATATAGATCTGCTCAGAAGTCGGCTGCGGAGTCGGCTTTCTCCTGAGATATTATCATCTTTTGAGGGTGCGACAGGTGTATTCAATTACAACCGCACAGTTGAACAGTTTAAATTATTTAAATTAAAAAAATTGGGTAATCCCATTCTGCGACTAACTGCTTACACAAAAGGAGGTGGTAAATGTTACTTAAGAAAGAATAATAATTTATGTGTTTGTGTCGGTGCACCTGTCGGTGCAACTGACTAGAAATCTTAATATAGGAAATAATTTATATAATGGCTGTAACTGCACTTTTTTCACCATTTTACAGTAAAAAAATGTTTTAAATATCAGTCAACCTGGCTGTATTTTAGTCAAATTTGATTGTTGCATTAAACTGCCAAACGTTCAATTAATTAAGGGAGTCCCCATATTCCCAATTAAAGATAATTATACAGATCCCCGAGGACAAGTTGTCCCATATTTTTATTACCCTTTTCGAAACAGGGGCG